CCCTCCGCTTTTTGCAAGCCAGACTCGGGGGCTCTGCTTGGCCGGCGAGCCGCCCCTCCGCCCCGGCTCCCTCCCGCCAGTCCGTGGAGCGCGCACCGCCTCGCCGCCCTTCCTACCCTCTTCCGTGGGCCTCTCGTCTGCGCTTGGCTCCGGCGACTCCGTTCTGCTAATCCTCTGGCGGTTTTCTGGGTTATTTAGGCAGGTGTAGGTGGAATCTAAGTGATCAGCAGGACGCGCGGTGAGCCCAGCGTCCTCCTACGCCGCCATCTTCCCTCTCCTGCTATTGATATTTTCATAGGATTGCATAAAATCTGTAGATATCTTTGGATTGTGTGGACATTTTAGCAATAGTTATTCTTTTAATCCATGAGTATGGAATATATTTCCATTTCTTTGTGTCATTTTCATTTTCTTTCATCAGTATTCATAGTTTTCAGAGTCCAGGTCTTTTACCTCCTTGGATAAGTTTATTCCTAGGCATTTTATTATTTTTTGTACAATTCTAAGTGGAACTGTTCTCTTAATTTCTCTTTCTGCTACTTTATTAGTAGTGTATAGCAATGCAGTGGATTCCTGAATATTGACTTTTGTATTCTATGACCTTACTGAATTCATTTAGCAATTTTAGTAGGTTTTTCATGGTCTTTAATGTTTTCTATATATAGTATCTTGTTATGTGCAAATAGTTAAAGTTACTTCTTTCTTACTAATTTGGATGACTTTATTCCTCATCTCATTACTATGACTATGACTTCCAATACTGTGTTGAATAAAGGTGTTGAGAGTGGACATCTTGTCTTGTTCCTGGTCTTAGGGGACACGCTGTCAGTTTTTCACCATGGAGTATGATGTTAGCTTTGAGTTTTTGATGTATCGCCCTTATTATGTTGAGCTATGTTCCCTCTAAACCTACTTTGTTGAGAGTTTCTATCATGAATGGATGTTGTACTTTGTCAAATGCTTTTTCCTTGTCTCTTGAAATGATCATATGGTTCTTATCCTTTCTAGAGTTGATATGATGTATCACATTGATTTGTGAATAACAAACCACCCTTGCATCCCTGGAATAAATCCAACTTCATTGGGGTGAATGTTTTTAATGTATTGTTAGATTCAGTTTGTATTTAATATTTTGTTGAGGATTTTTGCATCTTAAGTTCATCAGTGATATGGACCTGTATTTCTCTTTTGTTGTAGTGTCTTTGTCTGGTTTTGGTATCAGGGTAGTGCTGGCTTCATAGAATGAATTTGGAAGTTTTCCTTCCTTTTGTATTTTTCGGAATAGTTTGAGAAGAAGAGGTGTTAACTCTTCTTTAATGTTTGGTGGAATTCACCTGTGAAGCCATCTTGTCCTGGACTTTTGGAGTTACTGGATTACTGGTAATCAGTCTGCTCAAATTTTCTATTTCTTATAGGTTGAGTTTTGGGAGGTTATGTGTTTCTAGGAAGTTCTCCATTTCTTCTAGGTTGTCCAGTTTGTTGGCATATGATTTTTCATAATATTCTCTTATCCTTTGTATTTCTATGGTGTCAGCTGTTCTTTCTTCTCTTTCATTTCTGATGTTGTTTATTTGAATCCTCTCTCTCCCTCTCAATTTTTTTTTCATTGGTCTGTTGAAAGGTTTATCAATTTTGTTGATCTTTTCAAAGAACGAGCTCCTTTTTCATTGATCACTTCCAATTTTTTTTGTTTCTATTTATTTCTGCTTTAATCTTTATTATTTTCTTCCTTCTGTTGGCTTTGGGTTTTGTTTTTTTTCTAGCTCCTTTAGATGTAAGCAGATTGTTTATTTGAGATTTTTTTTGCTTCTTGAGGTAGGCCCTTATTGCTATAACTTCATTTTGAGAACTGCTTTTGCTGTATCCCAAAGATTTTGGACCACTGTGTTTTCGTTTTCATTTTTCCCCATTTTTTTAGAATTTCTTCTGGATTTCTTGGTTCCCCCATTCATTGTTTAATAGCATGTTATTTAACCTCCATGTATTTGTGTTCTTTCCAGATTTTCTTATGGTTTGATTTCTAGTTTCATAGCATTGTGTTCAGAAAAGATGCATGGTATGACTTCAGTCATTTTCAATCTTTTGAGACTTGTTTTGTGGCCTAATGTGATCTATTCTGGAGAATGCTCCCTGTGCACCGAAAAGAATGCATCCTGGAGCACCTGGGTGGCTCAGTCAGTTAAGTGTCTATGTCGGCTCAGGTCATAATCTCATGGTTCATGGGTTCGAGCCCCACATCAAGCTCTGTAGTGACAGCTCAGAGCCTGGAGCCTGCTTTAGATTCTGTGTCTCCTCTCTCTCTGCCCCTCCCCACTCATGCTCTGTCTCTCTCTCTCAAAAATAAATAAACATTAAAAATTAAAAAAAAAAATGTGTATCCTATTTTAGAATGGGATGTTCTGAATATATCTTAGATCCACCTGGTCCAGTGTATCATTCAAAACTAGCTTCCTTGTTGATTTTCTGTTTGAATGATCTATCCATTGATGTAAGTGGGTATTAAAGTCCTCTACTGGAGTGCCTGGGTGGCTCAGTTGGTTTGAGTGTCTGACTTCGGCTCAGGTCATGATCTCACCATTTGTGGGTTCGAGCCCCATTTTGGGCTCTGTGCTGCCAGCTCAGAACCTGAAGCCTGCTTCGGATTCTGTCTTCCTGTCTCCCTGCCCCCTCCCCCACTCGCACTGTTTCTCTCTCTCTCTCTCTCTCTCAAAAATAAATAAAACATTAAAAAAAAATTTAAGTCTTCTACTATTACTGTATTACTATCAGTTACTACCTTTATGCTTGTTAGTAACTACTTTATGGATTTGGGTGCTATCACATTGGGTACATAAATACTTACAATTGTTATATCTTCTTGTTGGATTGTTCCCTTTATGATCATGTAGTGTCCTTTTTTTGTCTCTTGTTATGGTCATTGTTTTACAGTCTGTTTTATCCCATAGAAGTATTGCTCCCCTGGCTTTCTTTTCATTTACATTTGCATTATAAATGCTTTTCCCTCCCTTCACTTTCAACCTTTATGTGTTGTTTGGTCTGAAATGAGTATCTTTTAGGCAGCTTATACAGATAGGTCTTGCTTTTTTATCTATTCTGTGTCAGTCTTCACTCTGGCTTTTGATTGGAGCATTTATTCCATTTACATTCAAACTAATTATTGATAAGTATGTACTTAGCACCATTTTGTTATTGTAGTTCTTTTCTGTCCCTCTCTTCTCACAGTTTGCTGCTTTCTTTAGTGATACAATTGGATTCCTTTTTCTTTATATTTTCCCTATCTGTTACTGTGTGTCTGTTCCCTATGCTGTTACTGTAACATTTGTATAAGGAAAATCTAGTTTTCATGGAGTTTCTTAGTGTAGTTTTAACATATTTCAAGTGAACATAGGTAATTTTCCCAAAATGAAGGGTTTAAACAGAGTTTGGAAAACTCTCATGGTTTGTCATGAAAGGAATTTGTGTTCTGGGCAGAAGGTTGACTTAAAAAATCATAGATTCTTAGAGATCATTTAAGTAATTTATTCATTTAACAAAAATATATTGAACACCTACTGTGTACGTATTTTTCTACAGGAATCAGAATTAACCAGATTACAAGCCAAAATTTCTGGACGTGAAAGGGCAGAAGACATCAAGTTTCTACCAGCCCTGCTTACATCTGCAACAGAAATTATGCCTGCCATTCAAGATCCAAAATTTGCTAAACATTCTCATGCAGCTCTTTTCAAGTGTAGAAAACTACGTCGCTCAATTAGTGCCAGTGACCTTAGTGTCAAAACTGGTAGTAATGAAGATCTTTCTGAAGAATTACTACAAGACTTAAAAAAAATGCAATTAGAACAGTCGTCAACATTAGAAGAAAGCCAGAAGGATCTGACTTATACCCAGCCAGACTCATTTAAACCTCTCACATATGACATAGAAGATGATAGTTCTGAAAGTAATGACTTCAGTACTCTTAGTGGAATGCTAAGATATATAAACAAAGAAGTGAGACTATTAAAAAAGTCTTCTATGCAAACAGGTGCTGGTATACCTCAGGTATGTATGTCTTTCCTTAGAAGTTATAATAATTTGTCTCCAATGAATATATCATAAAAAAACCATGCATTTAAACAGAAGTGATTAAGTGATACGTAAATACTGAAAGTTCAAAAAATTCCATTGTAAGTAGGGTTGAAAATTTAGCATTGAAAATTAATTTTGAGGGGCGCCTGGGTGGCTAGGAAGTCGGGTTAAGCGCAGTCTGACTAGCCAGGTCACCATCTCGGGTCCTGAGTTCAGCCTCCAAGGCCAGGCTCTGGCTGACGGCCCAGAGCCTGGAGCCTGCTCCCATTCTGTAAGTCTCCCCCTCCTCTCTGCCCCCTCCCCCGTTATGCTCATCTCTTGTCCCCTCAAAAGTAAATAAATAAACGTTGAAAAAAAAATTTTTTTTAAATAAAAAAAGAAAATTAATTTTGATTAAAATAGACTATACATATGATTAAATATAATCTTTATATTTCATTAAAGTACTAAGTCTATGTCATATTAGGAAAGTATTTTGAACTCTAGAATAAACTTGACCCTTGAACAGTGCAGGGGTTAGGGGCACTGACACCCCAGTGCAGCTAAAAATTCATATATAACTTTTGACTCCCCCCAAACTTAACTGGTAATAGCTGGTTTACTGGAAGCCTTACTCATAACCTAAACAGTTTAACACATATTTTGTATGTTATATGTATACAATAAAGTAAGCTAGAGAAAATGTTAAGAAAATCATAAGGGAAAATACATTTATAGTACTGTATTGTATTTACTGATAATGTAAGTTATATCATGTTTTACAAGATGAATTATCTGTCAGTACCCACATCAATATTGTCTTATACAAAACACTGTTGGTGTTATATATGTATAACTAACACTAAATATAAAAAATGAAAAGATAATATGAAAAAAATTCATATTTATTTATAGGTTAATAATTCATACATTGATAAGGAAGCAGCAGCAATATGAATGCTTTATGGTAGCCTAGCCTCTACACTAATGAATCATTATAAAATTTCATTCTAGCCATATTCATAATATACTGTTGGAAACAGTGTTCTATTTTTTTTAAAAACTACTTACCTGTGATGATGGGTTGCTCTGCACCTTCTTCATTTACTAGAGAGAGGGACACACCCTATGGTAATGTTATTTGAAAGCAAAGTTATAAAACAGAAAACTAACACATTCTTAAGTTTGTATTAAATACCACTTACCTTATACCTAATGTAAGGATAGTCTGCCTACTTCCATATACATCTTGCACATGATGTTCTACATGGTCAGTACTTAGATGATGCTGATGATGACACAGAAACATCTCTTACAGTTCTTGTCATACATTATTATTTAACATGAAAATACACATATACAACAGTTCAATTTATTAACTATACAGCCATTATTATTATCGCTGTCTGCAGGATGGCAGAGGCAGAGGGGTGGAGGAGGTAGAAGGGGAGGCAGGAGAGGCAGGCACATTTCGTGTAACTTCATGAAAATACATCAGCATTTCTGGGTGATTTTTTTTTTTTTTTTGCATTTCTTTCAAAATATTTTAGACAATAACAATTGTTCTTCAACCATTTGCTTTAATTTCAGTGTCCATACCCTAGAAGGTCCATGTCATAAAACTAAATGTCTTTGGAGGCATTTTTGTCTGTATTAAAAACCCATTCAGGCAGATACCTTTTCTCCTCAGTGATTTTCGTAATGGTCTGGGAACTGTCTGCTGTTTCTTGGTCAGCAGAAGCTGCTTCTCTGTTAGCTCAACATTTTTTTTTTAAACAATGTACTCTTTAGGGGCGCCTGGGTGGCGCAGTCGGTTAAGCGTCCGACTTCAACCAGGTCACGATCTTGCGGTCTGTGAGTTCCGAGCCCCGCGTCAGGCTCTGTGCTGATGGCTCAGAGCCTGGAGCCTGTTTCCGATTCTGTGTCTCCCTCTCTCTCTGCCCCTCCCCCGTTCATGCTCTGTCTCTCTCTGTCCCGAAAATAAATAAACTTTAAACAATGTACTCTTTAATAGTTGATGTTACAGGTTTACCATAGAGTTTAAATTATGATTTTCTTGAATTGCAAATTAAAAAAAAAATTTAAGGGGCGCCTGGGTGGCGCAGTCGGTTAAGCGTCCGACTTCAGCCAGGTCACGATCTCGCGGTCTGTGAGTTCTAGCCCCGCGTCGGGCTCTGGGCTGATGGCTCAGAGCCTGGAGCCTGTTTCCGATTCTGTGTCTCCCTCTCTCTCTGCCCCTCCCCCGTTCATGCTCTGTCTCTCTCTGTCCCAAAAATAAATAAACGTTGAAAAAAAAAAAAAATTTAATATAATTTGTCAAGTTGGTTTCCATACAACACCCAGTGCTCATCCCAACAAGTGCCCTCCTCAATGCCCATCACCCACTTTCCCCTCTCCCCCACCCCCCCCCATCAACCCTCAATTTGTTCTCAGTATCCAAGAATCTCTTATGGTTTGCCTGCCTCCCTCCCTTTCTGTAACTTTTTCTTCCCCCCCCTTCCCTTGTGCCATGGTCTTCTGTTGTTTCCCAAGATCCACATATGAGTGAAAACATACGGTATCTTTCTCTGCCTGACTTATTTCACTTAGCATAATACCCTCCAGTTCCATCCACATTGCTGCAAATGGCCAGATTTCATTCTTTCTCATTTCCAAGTAGTAGTCCATTGTATAGATAAAACACATCTTCTTTATCCATTCGTCAGTTGATGGACATTTGGGCTCTTTCCATAATTTGGCTATTGTTGAAAGCACTGCTATAAACATTGGGGTACAAGTGCCCCTATGCATCAGCACTCCTGTATCCCTTGGGCAATTCCTAGCAGTCCTATTACTGGGTCATAGGATAGTTCTATTTTTAATTTTTTTGGGAACCTCCACACTGTTTTCCAGAGCTGCTGCACCAGTTGGCATTCCCACCAACAGTGCAAGAGGGTTCCCTTTTCTCCACATCCTCTCCAGCATCTATAGTCTCCTGAGTTGTTCATTTTAGCCACTCTGACCAGCATGAGGTGGTATCTCAATGTGTTTTTGATTTGTGTTTCCCTGATGAGGAGTGACATTGAGCATCTTTTCATGCTTCTTTGGGCCATCTAGATGTCTTCTTTAGAAAAGTGTCTATTCGTGTCTTCTGCCCATTTCTTCACTGGATTATTTGGGTTTTTTTGGGTGTGGAGTTTGGTGAGTTCTTTATAGGTTTTGGATACTAGGCCTTTATCTGATATGTCATTTGCAAATATCTTTTCCCATTCCATCGGTTGCCGTTTAGTTTTGTTGATTGTTTCCTTTGCAGCGCAGATGGTTTTATCTTGGTGAGGTTTCAATAGTTCATTTTTGCTTTTAATTCTCTTGCCTTTGGAGATGTGTCAAGTAAGAAATTGCTGTGGCTGTACCTCAACATTTTTTCAGCAAAACCTATTTCTAAAATTAACAAACCATCCTTTGCTGACATTAAATTCTCCAGCTTTAGATCCTTATCTTTCCTTTGTCCTATGTTGTCATATAATGACTGCTTTTTCTCAAATCATAGTAGAGTCTATAGGCATGTCTTTCTTAGAGCAATCTTACACTCACATAAAAGTTGCATTTTCAAAAACACAAGATAAAAAGTACAAGGTTTTCATACCTGCTAGCATAACTGCAGCTATGGCTTCACAAATTTCCTTTTCTTTTTTCACAATGGTCCTTACACTGGATTCATTTATCTTGAAATGGCAGGCAGCCACAGCTGCAGACTTCAGTCTACAGTACATACCAAGCAGTTCAGTTTTATCTTGTAATGTCATGACTTTTCTCTGCTTCTTGGGAGCTCTTCCAACATCACTAGCTGCACCTCATATGGGTTCCGTGATGTTATTCAAAGTGTATGGTATTGCACTAAACACCATGAAAAATATGTGAGAACTGCAAGAGGTCACTTTTTTATTGTGATACACAATTTAGTGGAGAGATGAACTGCTCACATGGAGATGATAAACGTCACACAGTGTTTTAGGCAATACAACACTTGAACTCACCACAATAGCCACAGGTGGTGGCTACGAAATTATTACAGTACTACATTTAATTTTATAGTTATTTAATACCACATCTTTACATTTGTTTACATTTCAACTGCAAATGGCACCATATACAATCTGTGTGTGCATACATTTTGATAAACCTTAACTTTTTATAATAGATTTGTGTGTATGTTATGGTAGTAAATGAAAGACTAGTGTCTTCATATGTTTTATGCATTTATGACATACCTTTCTCTTAATTTTTTGATATTTCTAGGCTGTGAGGCTCTTCCGTAAGTTTTTTTCAAATTGTTGCATGTCTCCAAAAATTTTTCAATATATTTATTGAAAAAAATTAGCCATATAAGTGGACCTATGCATTTCAAACCTGTGTTATTCAAAGGTCAGCCCATGTTATTCAAGGGTCAGCAATACTAGAAAATGTTTTTTGGAGTTCCAAAATTAGTTGTGTTTCTAGACTTCTGGAAACATTCTAATAAAAATTATTAAGGGGACCTTTGTTTTAGTCATAGACTTCCACAGTGGCAGAGTATCTCATTTACATAATTTATCTACTTCCATTATTCTGTGTATATCATACTGAATAGGTAATTATATCCCTACTACACAGACCCTGCAGACACTCAGCATTTTTATAAGCATTTGATCTATAACTTGCATATAGAAATAAAAAATCTCTTCCAGAGAAATCCAGCTTTTTTCAAATGCCCATTGGCTTCACTTTCAAAATAGAATTGGTGGCCCAAAAAATTTTTAAAGCATTTTTAGAATGGATCTAAGACAAAAACTATTAGAGCTTCTTTTCATTTCTCTACTTTGAAAGGAGCTTAATTTACTACTTATAAGCAGAAAGCGATATAAATAATATTCTTATTGGTAAAATAAAATTTTCACATGAAACCTCAAGTATATAGCAAGTCTGATGGTATAGTAAACAAGGCAATTGTGTATAATGCCTGATGAAATTAGTTT